GTGTACAATGGTGCCAGGGCAGGAGACCCCCGCAAAAACCTACATATCAGAGATCGAGGGGCATAACCTCCGATCGGTCTTGTCAGGTATGGTGTAGCGTCCAGATCCCACCCGCCGATGGCCCCCACATATCACTGTCTCCTTCCTCCATCGAACTAGGATTCCTGACAGAAGTCAAGTGAGACCAGCAATGACCAGGAGCATGCCACGGCTCCCTCGGCACGCCCTCCTAACACCCCAGTGTTCTTCCCTGCGCCACCATCGTCACACCGGCGCCAAGTTTTGGCAGTCAAAGCAGACAGATTACATCAGCCCCGTGAGCGATCCCCCAACGCCCAAACGCCGCCACTGAGGCGGCGCGCTAGCGCAGCGCTACCGCTGCGCTAGGACCTGACCCTTATGGTAAAGAATTTCGATGTGACCCTGAGGCAAAAGTTGTTCAGTTTATTTTTCTGCATAACATAGTTTTTTTTTTCCGTCCCCTCCACCCCCCCCCCCCCCCCCCCCCCCCCCCCCCCCCCCCCCCCCCCCCCCTGGTCCTTGCACGGCCGGGCTGTCCGGGAAAATAGGGTGACCCGGGCGGCCCCTCTGGTAGCCTAGCTCTTTGGCGGTTTGTCACATGTGTGCAAAATGTGTCGGAATCCTCCAAATGTGCAAAATGAGATTGAAGTCACCGATAGAACATATTTTTTGTCTTTTGTGCATGTGGAGAGTAGTGGAGTGAGGCCCTACGCCTAAGAAGCAAAAAGCTCTCGGTTGGTGATAACAACTGAGCGAGGTTGTCGATCCCGAAAGGATCCCGATTTCAGAAAAAATAGGGTCTCGCTGCACTACTCTCCACTCTCTGGGAAATCGGATAGTACGCGGAGAGTTGTCAGACTCTCCGATTTCCCGGATTTTGGGTCATCGCTGCACTAACTCTACAAACTCAGACTCTACAACTATCGAGGGTACAAAACTTCAGCTCAAAGTCCCCATTTCTCTGCCCACACTCAAGGTTCACTCTCCAGATTTGGAGCAAATCGGTGGTTCCTTGAAGGTCTCTCCCCGTAACGAATTTTGCAGGCTGGGCACTCTCCGACGGCGGAGAGTGCAATTCTTTTGGGGTTTCTGACAGCTCTCCGAATTTCTTTTGGGGTTCTATAGGAGAGTTCGTGCAGCGATGCATAACTCTCTGAATTTGCGCAAGTAGAGTAGTGCAGCAAGACCCATACTCTCACATGATTAAGCGCGTCGCTCCACTACTCTCCAAGTGTTTCAAATTGAGACGGAATCCTCCGCCAGACCATGGACAGAGATACATTGCCATATTTTTTTGTCTTTTGTGCATGTGGAGAGTAGTGGAGTGCGGCCCTACGCCTGACAAGTGAAAAACTCTTGGTCGGTGATAACGACCGAGTGAGGTTGTCGATCCCGAAAGGATCCGGATTTCAGAATTTAGCAATTTACTCTCTACTCTCGAGTTGCCACTTCATGCTACGTCTATTCGGCTCTGTGATAACCCATTGTTCACGTTCCGAAATGGAGTCTTGTGACTGACTGTCCGCCATGGACATTATCATCATCCATCGATCAGATTCGATCCAGAACAACCTGGGACTCCTGAGGAAACCGCTGATGAGCCCGGGCCGTTGGCCTCAGACAACGCTCGCATCATCTTTCGTTTTCCTTGGCCCTTGGGCAAAAGCATCTTGTCGAGTCTGACTTTTAGGAGTGACAAGAGCATCCCTCTCTCATGAGAGGGACCCCCTGCTTACGATGGCTCCCTGCGATCTATTGGTGGGTAGCTGAAAAACGGGTTCAGGGTTGCTGTCTACAACTGTAGCAATTTTTGCATGTTCAGGCTACCTTCTTCCCCCGAATGCAACGCACGGTCATTATAGCTGTATTTAGACTGAAACGTATGTCAAATACAGCTATAATGACCGTACGTTGTATTCGGGGGAAGAAGGTACTCTGCTGAGAAGGCAACGGGCCTAGCTCAGTTGGTAAACCCATGGAGTCCATGGACTGTTGAAATATACACACAAGTTAGAATCCAGGTGCAAGCAGTTAAACCACCAGCAGTTAAACCACCAGCAGTTAAACCACCAGCAGTTAAACCACCGGCAGTTAAACCACCAGCAGTTAAACCACCAGCAGTTAAAGCACCAGCAGTTAAACCACCAGCAGTTAAACCACCAGCAGTGAAACCTCGGGCAGTTAAAGCACCGGCAGTTAAAGCACCAGCAGTTAAGCCACCAGTATGTTTCCCCCACTAAGAAATCAAACATGCAGCTTGTATGCAGTCGCAACTTTCGGGAAGTACCGGGGCAGCGTTTAGCTGGATATCCATCCAGGCAAAATGGGCCTCACATGCGACCCGTTTTGCCTGGATGGACATCCAGCGAAACCCCGCCCCAGTACTTCCCAAGACTCGCGGCTGTATACGCGCGCCGCAACTCTGAAAAAAATAGCTGGGAAATGTACAGGTTGCTTAAGTAACAGAATACACATAATTGCAGTGTGTCTTGAATCTTGATTCTTTCAAATCCAAGGGGTGCTCTTTGGGGATGCCACTTTTTATTTTCGAAAAGAGGGTGCATTCATCACTTCTAGACAGCTTTTTTTTTTTTTCGATTTTTTTTGAATTTTTCCTAGGCTGTTTTCCCAGGCGCCCGGACACCCAACTTCTGCCCGGGTACACGCCCGGGCATGACCCCCGGGCAGGGTTCCGGGCAGCCCCAGCGCCGAAAAAAAAAAAAAAAAAAAAAAAAACTCGAAAAATTCCAGAAAACAAATATGTTGTGTAGGATTGAAATACAGACGACTTTTGGCTGAGGGTCACATTATAATTCCTCACAGAATCAGAGATAAAAAAGAAAATAACAGAATCAAACAAAGGCACCCCCCCTTTAGACCCCTTTAGCCCCTTCAAAACCAATTTATACCCCCCTCCCCCCCCCTTGATTGCCAACTCGCAAAAAACGAAATGAGACCACATTTGAAGTCCTCTAGGAGAGCGCAGAAAACCCTTTTTTTTTTTTGCACGCCCTGGTACCCCGGATGTCAGACCCCCCCGGGCGTCACGCCCGGGTGCCTGGCTGGGCAGGACCGGCCGGGCGTGAGAATCTTACTCGAATTTTTCCAAATAACAAAGCTATGGATCCACCCGACCCATTTTTTATTTTTAAAAAGAGGGTGCATTTACAACTTCCAGTTCTGGATCCACCCGATGTGGCTGAATGGTGTACACGCTATGACACTGACAAATAGATGATGAGTTTGATCCTGATGTAATCAGATCGATACAATAAGTTAGGGGCAACCCAGTTCAAATGGAATCTTCTTCCCTGGAAGCAGTGCTGTTGCACTGCTTACGAATGTACAACCGAACGAAACATCTCATTCTCCAAATGGAACGGAGTTGCTCACGATGAAAGGAAAGAAAGTACGACCGTGAGTCATGAACAAGTTTGTGACGATCAGAGAGGAACATAACCACGTGTGTGTGCAGAAGTAACGACAATCTGACAACGACAGGAAAAAAATATTACAAGCACTTAGTCATGAACAAGATTGAGCATCAGAATGGTGAACATAACTAAGTACGGGATGATGGATATTGCATGATACTGGTCCCGTACGTGGAGATGAACATGAGCAAGATTCATCCCGTACGTAGTTGTGAACATGAGCTGTAAAGACGGTCATAAATGTACACAATAGCGTTTCTAACTTAATCTCACACGATATGGATCAAGGACGCCTTGGTCACTACCTCCATGGTCGCGGTCACTCCCAGTCTCTTCTTGTCTGTCACTCGCTGCTGCGGGGTGAACCTGGCGGGCGCTGCAGAAGGGGCAGTAGGTCACTTGAGGAGGTTGAGGATGATCTTTCACCCTCTCCTCTGACAGATCGTCAGCTACGCCGACCTCCTGTTGAAAGACATGGGGTGACTGAAACACCTCTGATGCCGACAGAAAAATGGTTGGGGTTATTGCAGGCCCTTTCATATGGGTTTTGATCGACGGCAACGGCAGGCGAACCTTAGTTGCTGACAAACGAGGAGAATCCCTTTCGGCATTCGAACCTGATGACACGGGAGGTGGGCCTGGCAGAAGCCTTTGATAGCCCTCTTTCGCCGGATCGGAAGCATCGGGTCTTGGCAGCTGATTCTCCTCCTCGCCCAGCTCCCTTTTTTGTGTACCAGAACAGCCAAACCTACTCCTCTTGTCTTCCAGGCATGCCAGCACCGCCTCGTGAGCATGCACAAAGAACCACTGCCGTCCGATCAAAGATGTTAATTTAGCGCGAAAGAAAGCGCTCATGACCGCGCGATTGGGATTGCAGATGGCAAGCGTAACTCCCCTTACCTTGTATTGATGGTAGAGTTCGGTGAGAGCTTTGCACCCATCAGAATCTATCATCGTCACAGGCGTCATCTCCAGCACCACATAGCGCACTTGTTCATTGGCTGGAAGGCAACTCTCCATATCCCAACTTGTTTGAGTCTCTCGGATGGATGGGTCCGATTGCCCAGCACTGTGCTGTTTTTTATGTAAAGCCGCCATGGCACGAAGGTGCACTTGCTCATCTTCTGGAAGGCAACTCTCCATATCCCAACTTGTTTGAGTGTCTCGGACGGATGGGTCCGATTGCCCAGCACTGTGCTGTGTTTTACGTAAAGCGGTCACGGCATGAAGTTCATAACGCTGCAAACAGTCCTTTAGAAATGGAATGTTGGCAAAGAAAATTGGCGCATCGATTCTGACAATCACGATCCCACGGTTGCACTTTGCGTCCGGGTATTGCTCCACATTGCGGTACACCGTCGTCCCGGGCAGGCGCCCAAGGACAGCCGTGTGGGGATTAGCGGTTTCATGGAGGATAAAGCCCAGGGAGATGACAACAGCCACAGCGACGCCCACCTCGACACTGAAGAAGACGACCCCAACGAAGGCCAGGAGCCATACTATACAGTCCCTTCTGTTGACTCGGTACAAGTACAGAATCTCAGAGAAGTCGATCAACTTGAGGACCGCAGAAATGACAATCGCAGCGAGCACACAGAACGGCAAATCCTCAAAGAGGGTGGTGAGGAAGAGGAGAGATACCAGCACAAGGAGGCCCGTCACCATGCCAGCAAGACCCGTGCGTGCGCCTGTATCGTCGCTGACAGCGGATCGGGAGACAGAGCCGGCGACCGGATATGCACCGAACATAGATCCGACAATATTTGCAAAGCCAATACCTACCAGCTCGTGGCTAGCACTGATCTCATAACCATTCTTGCCTGCAAGCGCCTTGGCTATGGCAATTGACTCCATGAAGCCAACCCCTGCAACCACCACTGCAGGCAAGAAAAGCTGCTGCACATCCTTCCACTCGTAGTCAATGCTAAAAGGGGGAAGCCCCTCGGGCAGATCCCCAACCGTCTTCATCCCATAACAGTTGTTTGTGAACCTGATAAATAGTGTCCCACCAATGGTGACAACAAGAGGAGCAACTATCCGCAGAAATCGCAAAGACTTGTGCAAATTCTGGATAAGCTTGGTGAACAGCAGAAATAACAGCACGCTAACTCCGGTCAGCAACGTCGGTATGTGTGCCATATGTATATTGTTCCAAATGTTGAAGAGAATGATGTGGACTTGGCTGCTCTTGGGCAAATTGCAACCAAGAATGTTCTTTGCCTGCAAAACACACACACAAAGAGAGACCAAACAACACTCTTCTCAATGGCCAGGGCATGGTAAAAAAGAAACAACACAAAAAGAAACTGGTGGAAATTGTGCTTTTCCAGATGCATACCATATAATATGCTATTCCAGATGCTTGCACACAGCCTTGCAGTATGATGCAGTATGGAAAGGTCCTTGGTACATGGAACCTAAGAAAAGGAGTGTTCTCTGCCTGTGAAAAGCAATGGACAGAGGAAACAAGATCCAATACCTTTCTCGGCCTTTTGGCTAAGATCAAGCGTAGTGTCTGTTCCGATCAGTTTCATATATGATCCGTGGTCCATCGGACCATACGATAAAAAAAAGAAAAGATCTTTATTCTCATAGACATTGACAGCAATCAGCATAAAACCAGTACCGAAAACCCGGTAGGACCGGGGGTCCCACCCCCGACCGGAACCAGGCCGGTCCTACCAGCCAGTCCACCGGGGGAGCTCCCCCCAGGTGGGCCATAGCGCACCGAACGTGGGGGGTCGATTCAATTTTTTCGGGGCCAGGAGGCCTCCACGGCCTGCGTCGAGGTTCCCTCGCCCAAAGAAAGATCGAACCGGGTCCGGTAAGCCCACCCAAAAAGCTTGAAAAGGGAAGCCTATCTGGACCGTTGATCTGGAGAGATCCGCGTCCCAGATAGGCCGCCGTTTTCAAAATTTCTGGGCGGAAGTACCGTCCCTACCCCGCCCATCGGCCTACCTCTTCCCTCCCCCACCTACGCCCTCCTCCTGCCCACAGCCTACCACCCGTTCCCTCCCCTGCCCATTCGACCTTCGACAGTCGAACTGCTGGGGCACCCTCCCCGTGGCCTCCAGCCCGCCGCTCCTCCAGCCCGTCAAGCCCGCCGTCGTCGTCGCCACCATCCCTAAGAGCCACCGGTAAGTTAGTAGTTTTCTTCTTCTTCTTCTTCTTCTTCTTCTTCTTCTTCTTCTTCAGCTAGCTACTGTGGTAGTTATGGGCGCGTGCTAGTTGGTGGAGATCCAACCCGCCAAGTTAGTGGTTTCTTCTTCTTCTTCTTCTTCTTCTTCTTCTTCAGCTAACTACCGTGTAGTTAGTGGGCGCGCGAGAGTTGCTGGGCGCGCGGTTGGACCACCAGGAATCCAACCGGCCTGGTCCAACCCCGGCACAGCCCTGCATAAAACAAAGAACTTCCGAAATTGTGTGCTATTGCACGTCTGCCGATATGCACATGAAGTAGTTCAGAGGCTGAGCCCATTGAACCGACCCAGGGGCCCGAGGTCTATTAACTCGCAGGATTACACCTAGGTTGGAGCATTTCATAGCATACAGATTGGAACATGCTGTGTATTCTGGAATATTTAGTATTCCACAGGTTCTAGATAACCCTTCACTTTTCCCAGCAAGAATAGACTCATAGAAACAAAAAAACACATACTTTCAAACCCTGTCACTATTCAATGCCTTCCAAGTTTTGCTCCAACCGCAGAAAACAGAAAGCAATTCAACAGCAATCACACCAGGAACAGCAATACACAAGCACTCAACCAACTTCACTGTCTAGAGCATTGAATTCAAAACTCCGAGAGTTTTCACTCCCAAAACAGAAGCGAACAACCATCTCATCACTCGCCCAAGAAATCGCCCAATCTCTCCACACTCTCATTCCATCCTTGCATGACTACGCACGTGCTCATGCAAGCGTTCGCGCATCCGCAATCATATGGGCGGGACACAAAAAGGATGGAGCTCAACATAACGCCGAGCATCCTCCCCGGAAAACTGTCGTCAACATTCATGGAGTGTCTGACTTTCTAGGCTACGGTCAAAGAACCTTCCCTACTTCAGACTCTCCACACTCGGCCCACGATACGCTGCCCGCTTTACATGCTGACTCTTCCATTCGAATGGTACCATTTCAATCCCCCACCTCCACTGTCGCGTCATCAAGTTAAACTTTTGACTGTCACCAGCGACTGACAGGATAACTGTTCGGAACCTCGTATTTATCCACTTCAGAAGCCCAACCCTCTTCTATCCTGCTGATCCCAGTTCGAACCCTGCACACTAACTTCGTAAATCCAACTTAGTTCCATTCTACCGGTAGCAATTTGAAACCCCCTGTACCACCTTCATAGGTCTGTCTGTCCCTACTTCTGGTCTCAATTCAAACCGCATGCACTAACTTTTTAAGTCGGAACCTGCTACGTTTTGCTACTCGCATTCGAGACTTTGTGCGCTAGCTTCGTGGGTCTGGGATTGGTGCCAATAGACCGAGGCATTGATTGCTCCCACTGGTGGGAGGATTGACCTTGTCTTTAACCATCGACTCGCACGGAACATCAACACACTAAACTGCATATACATAACTGCCACATCTATCCTATCTATCTCCTGCTATCGCTCAACAACTCGGTCAGCGACTTCCACAGATTACTCGCCCCTCGAGAAGTTTCTGGTAACCCGACTAAAATAGTGGTCTGGGTAATCCCAGCGCCGAAGTTCCATCTTCGCAAAGATGACCGCATCAATCATCTGCATTCCTAGAAACAAAGTTGCATCGATCCTATGAAGAGCACTAACAATTACCACCAACTTCGCCTTCTTACAAGCCCACGACCCATAATCTTGAAAGGTACTAAATGTAAGTGCCCTTCCATTGCACAAATCCGCATCGTTCTTCACACTTTGACAACAATGACTCTGCAACCATAACTCACAGTGGAGAAATTCTGATGTACTCTCGTCGTTATTGGTCTTCTTCAACATGAGTGGACGATCATAGCACTTCTCAAATCTCCACATAATCTGCTCCGTTTGTTTCTTGTTGTTCTTCTTTCGTACATTGTAAGCAACAAAACATGAGACATCATCAACAAAACACAAACCCACCCACCACGTAGTGCTGTTGACTTCCCACAATGGTCAGGAATTCCCATTCACTTTTAGCACAACATCAGAGGGGGGGAGGATTTCCCCGGCAGAATACCAATGGTGTCTCAGTACCACCCTGCTCGCGACCATAAAACAGTGTTCCAGATCGAAGCAAGCAAAGCGCATCAAGCATTCAAGCACATCAAGCATTCAAAGCTCACGAGAGCATACCCCTCCAACAACTCAGATCTGCTCATCTTTGTCCCCCCTTCCTCCTTCCTTACACGCACTCTAGTCATCCTCCTCTCAGAGTACCACCACATACGCCATTCGACTACTCGCAAAATCATATCGTTAAGTAGTTTACTAAACATATCCTTTATATTGTACAAAGAAGACCAATGCATCTTCTTATTAATTCTCCTCAATCTACCATTCAGCTCAGACACGGCTCTCAAATTAAAATGCTCAATCTTTGGTAGACTGAACAACATCCCATTCAACGCCTTGGCCCAATAATAATAAAGAGGATGATGAAGGAGGAGGAGGAGGAGGAGGACGAGGAGGGGAGAAGGAGAAGATGAAAGTAGTAGTAGTAGGAGGAGAGAAGAAGAAGAAGAGAGGAGGAGGAGGAGGAGAGGAGAGAAGAGAAGAGACAAAATGAGGAGGAAGAGGAGGAGAGGAGAAGAAGACGATGAAAGGAGGAGGAGGAGGAGAGAAGAAGAAGAAGACGAGAGGAGGAGGAGGAGGAGAGAAGAGAAGAAGACGAAATGGGGAGGAGGAAGAGGAGTAGCGGAGAAGAAGAAGACGAGAGGAGGATGAGGAGGAGGGCCGGTTGTGTCTAACGATGATGGAGGGGAAAAAAAAAAAAAAGGCCGATGGAGGAGCAGGAGGAGGGAAAACAAGAAGACGAAATGGGAAGGAGGAGAGAAGAAGACCAAGACGAAAGGAGGAGAGAAAAGAAGAAGACGAAATGAGGAGGCAGAGGAGGATAGAAGAAGAAGAAGACGAGAGGAGGAGGAGGAGGAGGAAGAGAGAAACGAAGAAGACGAAATGAGGAGGAGGAAGAGGAGTGAAAAAGAGAAGATGAGAGGAGGAGAAGGAAGATAGAAAAGAAGAAGATGAAATGAGGAGGAGCAAGAGGAGTGAAGAAGAAGAAGACGAGAGGAGGAAGAGGAGGTTGGCTGCACGCGAGGAGGAGGAGGAGGTCGGCACCTCGACCATGGGCAGATAGACAATGACGTGGCAGCTCGACGAAGGGCGGCATGATGGGAGCTCCATGCGAGGAGGAGGAGGTCGGAACCTCAGCGATGGGCAGGTCGACGAAGACATGGCAGCTCGACGACGGGCAGCGCGATGGGAGCTTCGCAAGAGGAGGAGGAGGAGGTCGCCTACGCACGGAGGGGCAGGGGCACCTCGATGACGACGTGCCAGGGGCCAGGTCAATGGCGACGGGCAGGTTGACGACGACGGGCAGGTCGATGACAACGGCGGGGCTCCGAACGGGGAGGACAATCCTCTGTTCGAATTCGAATGCGGGATCGTAGGCCGCCAGGGGGAATAGGACAAGACCTTTTTCGGCGACTGATCCCAGCCGCCGATCTTCGCAGATCGGCGACTGGGATCAGTCGCCGAAAAAGGCATGCCCCTCCCTCCTAGAAAGTAATTTTTTTTTTTTTTTCAAGCACTTGGCGGCTGGGGAGGCCGCCATTGGCCGAGAAAGGCCTCCCCCCCCCCCAACGCGCGAAATTGCGCTGGGCGCGCCCGGCGCCCAACCGGGGGACCCAACCGGCCGGGCTGCCTGGGAGCCCTACCGGACGAAGGCTGCGCCGTCCGGATTTTAACACAGGCCATAAATCCTTTCCAAAATCAGGTCTGTATGATAACATCCACGGATTTTGTCAAGTCTGTCCGACGCCCTCTCATCTTCCTCGCTTTTGCTCTTCTCAAACCATATCAAAATCATCAGGTTGCCAATGAACTTGCGTCCAAACACCAACGTTCTGCAATCCCAAACTTCGTAGGTAGTCATGCTCACCCTTCACGCATACAAGAGAAGCTAAATAAGGACTAGTGTGACCACCCATAGGGTATACCTTTCAACTGCTGTAGAATCGCATCAAGCGAAC